CTGAGTCCCCTCCTCTCACAGAGCCCTCTGTCTTTCCTCCCTCTGGGCCCCAGTATACACCTTAATGAAATGGTGGTGAAAGAGATTTGACCTGGTCCAAAGTGGGAAGCCAGAGACGTTACCTTGCAACGTCCTTGCTCCCACACCTGGGCTATCCCTCACCCTGCTTAGAGCTCTTTAGAGCTGGCCTTGGAGGTTCTGTTTTGTCTGCTCCCGCCCCTCCCCCATCTCTTCTCTTCCCTACACTTCCCCGCTTGGATCTCCTGGCTATTCCTCCAGTATGCCACATGGGCTTCTGTGTTTGGGACATTGGGACACTTACAGATAACCACATGGCTCACTCCTTCCACCTTTCAGGTTTTTGCTCCCAGCAAGGCCTTCCCTGATCACACTATTTAAAATTACAACTACTCAACCCAAATGCCCTGTCCTCTTTTCATACTTTATATTCTTCTCCTCAGCATTTAACACCACCTGTCATGCTCTATATTTCTCCTATTTATTTTTTATTCTCTCTCTTTGCTCCAGTATGTCCCCAAAGGGGCAAGGATTTCTATTGGGTTTATTCATTGTGGTATCTTCAGTTCCTAGAACAGTATTGAGTAGTCAAGAGAAAGTTGGTTTCATGACATGAATGAAGGAAAGGCATCATCACTTTGTTATTGTTCTTGCAACCTTGGCCACCTGGGCCCTCCTCCTGGCATAAATGACTGATAATGGGACACTATTGTGTTACCTGAATTAGAGGGCTTTGTAATCGAATAGAAACCAGGGGCACTTCCAAGCTAGATAACAGACTTCATTGAGCCAGACCTAGAGGTTTTTCTGGTTTTCTCTACATCTCTCAAATCACAGGCATGTAGCCTGTGTCCTTTTCTATAAGAGCCCAAGTCCTGGGGTGATAGAAGAGTGAAGTAAACAGCGCCAGAGGCCCATGGAAACCAGGGTCCTACTTCTTGCAGGGACAAAGGTCTTGGGTGGGGCCTGTTGGGGCTAGGCTGGGCAGGGCTGGGAGTGCCCAGCTAGAGGGCCCAGCTGGTGCTGGGTGGGGGCTGCCCTGAAGGAAGTTTGTGGAGCCTAGGTCCATTTCAGTGGACTGCTGGCAGCCAGCTTCCTGGTTAGTGGGGGTGGCTTTGGGTCAGAAGCAGGGCAGAATCCCCAAGCAGTGTGGCTAGGCTTGGGGGAGTGGGGGTATGTCGAAGTTAGGTCCTTTTGGCCAGAGATTTTGTGTGAACAAGTCTTCATTTCTATGGGACAAATGCCTAGGAGTGCAATTTCTGGGTTGTATGGTTGTTGCAAGTTTAGGTGGNTTACAGTTATAGAGTAGCAACGAAAATAATTTTATGGTTGGGGGTCACCACAACATGAGGAACTGTATTAAGGGGTCGCGCGGCATTAGGAAGGTTGAGAACCGCTGGCCGGATAACCTGAGCCTGGCCCAGGAACGTTAACATCAGCCCTGAGCCAGATCCGTGGGTCTAGGGGCAGAAGCAATGTTGAGGCATTCCTGAATCCTGGGCCCCAGCCCTGTCATGTGTCTGTCTGGTTAGGGCAGCGTCAACAAGCAGAAAAACCAGTGGGCTTGAGGTTTCCATTTGTTGCTACCTGGGAAACACTCTGGTGATGGTGTGTTGGGGAGGAGTCAACCTGGGGGCCTGCCCACCCCTCCTCACTTCGTTAGGTACGTCCCAGTGGACGGGCTGTTGGTTAGTGAGGGTCTCTTTTTTGGGGGGTGTCAAGCCGCTGGAGGGGAGGCCTTTTGAACCCCTGCTATGCTGAGGTGATGTGGCGGGAGGGGAAGAAACGGAATACAGAATGAGAACTCGCTACCTCGGCAAGGAGGTCGAGTCTACACTTATGCGTCCCTGTTCCCACTAGTCCCGACTCCGCTGTGAAGTGGAATCGTGTTCTCACCCTCATATTACTGCTGTGAAAATGGAGACGTGGAGGTGAAGTAACCCAGCTCCAATCACTCAGCCCGTGCGTGGCCCAGCCCGCATTCTTTCCCGGGCTGTGTGACTGCTAGTGCAGTGTTCCGCCTTTCTGGCTGACCGCAGGCCCAAGGGGTGCGGCCTGCGGGGGCGAGGACATTGCACACGGGTGGCGACGGTGTTGAATGGGTTAAGGCAGGGAGGCGGCGGGTGTCGCGTAACCGCACCTGGACCAGTATCGGTCACGTGGCCGGGGTTTCACCTGCCCCGCTGAGCAGGGACAATCAGGCCGCTGTTCCGCGGTTGGTCGCCATGGTGACAGGAGTGCGCCTTGGGAGGTCACCAGGGCAAATTCCTGCCGGTCAGCCGGGTGGGGCAGGAGTGTCAGTCGTGTTGGGGCAGGCTGAGGCTCTCAGAAGACCCCTTGAGGTTTCTCAGGGGGATGTCCTTAGGGGCCCCGTATGTGACTCCCACCCAACCTCCTACCATCTCATCCCTCCCCATCCCCCCCGTCCCCCGCCCCCACAGTTTAGCTTCTCTCTTCACAGATTTTGAATCTGAGTTTATTAACCTGCCAGGACTTTCATCTATATTGTCTTGTTTAATCTGCACAGCAGCCTTTCCCTCATGGGAGTGGTAATCCCCTGTGCCTCCCCCAGACTCACTGAGTACTTTGAGAACATTCCTTTCTTCAACAACCAACGGACACTTTTGGAAGTCTCTACTACTTGCCTTTCTACACACAGGCACCTTTCTAGGCATAACCTTGAACAAAACAAACGTGAGCCCCACAACGGTAGGTTCTATGGAGTATTTATTTTCTTCAGAGCAGGTTGGGAAGGCCCCTGGGGACCGTTGTCAGAAGGCAGGGACTGCACATGGCCATCCCATAGCTCTGGTGTCTAGAACACCTCTGCCCCCCCCACCCCCACCCCGTGTTCCTCCCCTCCAAACTTTGCTCCAGGTCCACAGATCCTCCAGTTCCTGCTTTTATCCACTTACTTCTCTGCTCCAGAGCCTTGCTAAGAGCAACGCTCATCAACCTTTTCTCTACCCAGTCTCATGTGCACCGTCACTGCAGCCCCAATAGTAGTCTCATCACATGCACAGATTCTTAAAGTGGAGGGAGTGGAGGGAATCTTCCTTTTTGAAAACCAGCAACCTCCACTCCCTGTTGACAAACATCACCCTGCAAGGTACACTCCAGCCTCCCGACCTGTATTTTGGAGCCTTCATTTATTGAGAACCTACTATGTGCTAGGCACTGGAGATGCCAGGGGGAGCCCAGATCAACTCATAGACCTGACAGTCTGGTAAGGACTATACCAAAGGATGTATAATCACACGTGGAGTAAAAATGCAAAGGAAAGTGAGAGTAGAAAACTGAGGAATCCAACAGGCCCTGGGGGCAGGTAAGGTGGCTCTAAAAAAGAGATGTTTGAATGGAGATCTGAAGGCTGAGTAGGAGTCTGCCAGGTGAAGGGTTTACAGTGGAAGAGGGTGTTCCACAGTGGGAACACCATGTGCTATGGCCAAACCACCCCGTCTCTCCGCGCAGAATCTTAGAGCCATTCTTTTTTTTTTAAAGATTTTTATTGGGGAATTGTGAGATGGGAACAGTGCTGGGGAATTGGGGGAAGGGGAACAGACAAGTCGCTGTCTTTTGTTCTTTAGTCTAGTTGTAGAGGACGTTGCTTCACTGGCCCAAGTTGGCACCATCATTGCACTCTTCCCGGGCGAGGCAGGTCAGTTGCCGGCTTCTGCAGGGCCTCTCACTGTGGCTTCTGGCCACTCACGCTGGCTGCTGGCTACACATGGTAGCCCATGGCAGCCCACTGCAGCAGGGGCTGCAGCCTATGCTGTTGNGACACCTCTGCCTGGTGGTCTTACAGGATTACCAAACTCTGTACACTCAAAACTGAAACCATCCTCTTCCCCTGGCAACCTGGTCTCCTATTTTGGTAAATGGCACCACCATCCAATCACTGACCGAGGACGGAAAGTTAGGGTTCTCCTACTTCTTCCCTCCCCCCAACCCCACATATCCATATCCAAATGATTCTCAAGTCCTGCTCGTATTGATTCCTTAGCAGCTCCCATCAGGCTCTGCCCCCAGCCCTGCTGTCTCTGCCTTAGTTCTGAACTGCATCGTCTCACACCAAAATGGCTATAGAACCTCTTAGATATAGCCTCCCACCTTCATTGGCCTCCTTGAATCCCAGCTCTGCAGGGGCTGCTGGAGAGGTTATTTGACAGCATAATTAACCAGGTGCGTCCCTGCCATGATTACCATTACACTGGAGAAAGGTCCAAAGTCTGTCAATCTGCCCATGAAGATCTCCATGCCTTGGTCTCCTCTGGGCCCGTGGGCCTCATTACCACTTCCTCTCTCACCTTGCTTTCCATCCAGCCATGTGGAATCTCTGTGCCCTTGCCCTGGACACAGGCTCCACTTTTCCCACTGCCTGAACATCCTTCACTTTCTACAAGATGCCAGTGTTTCCACACCTTGTTTACCTCCAGCATTAGCGTGTCACCAGAGAATTCTGCGTTCCTCCTCTTTCCCTCCCTCGAGGTCCCAGAAAGAAAATGAGGCCCCTCTCTCATCTTTCCTCCAGGTGAGAAGATTCTGCCCAGCTTTACTTTTGGTAAAAAAACAATAGGCCTTTTTGTTCTGTTCTTCCAAATATGAAATCATAGCATTGAATGTGCTCTTTCACGCGGCTCAGGGGAAATTCGGATGAGCAGCCACGCTGTAGAAAACACAAACCCAAATGGCACAGCCTGGGGAAGAGGGTCCCTGACACCTCCCCCCACCCCCATGCCTCTCTCAGCCACACATGCCAGGAGTGCCCAGGCCTGTCTCTCTAGATTGGCCCTTAATCCTCTGCATTCCCAGTGAGTAGGCCAAATGCCCACCTAGCGAGCATCCAGTTTACAATCCCACTTTCTTGGTTACCGAACCTCTGTCCCTCTAAGCTTCATCCCCAGCAGAATCCAGCCAAGGCCAACCCTTGCAGTGAGGTGGAGACTTGTCTGCGGCGCTCAGGACAAGGAGGCGCCGGCAACTGCAAAACGAAAGACTTTTATTGAAGAACAAGTGGCCCTTTTCAAGACTGCCCGTCCCTGCCCAACGCGGGCTTTGGGGTCGCGGCCCAAGTGGGAGGACAAGTAGGGGGGCCACTCTACCCCGCGCTCCAGAGGCGGAGGTTTCATTGTCTATGCGGGCTGGTCCCCGGGCTCCGCTGTCCCGCTCCCTGTCCCCGAAGGGGTGGCAGCTGGAATTGGGACGCTGGGCTGGCCCCTCCCAATCCAGCGAGAGGAGCTGCCAGACATCTGGGGCGGGCTGGTCTCCCATGCAAGGCGGCTCGCTGGACTGGTGGGCGCTTCAGCGCATGGGGGTGGTGGGGTCTCCGCGCTGTTGCCCCTCAGACATAGTCCTTGCGGTCGTAGGCTGTGCTGGTGCCAGTGCCCGGGCCCGTGGAGCGCGGCGCCGAGTAGAGGATCTTGGTGGGCGCATACTTCTTCTCGCGCGGCGGGCAAGAGCAGCAGAGCAGCGCGCCCCCCAGCAGCTGCATCGCCGCGGCCGCCCAGCCCACGTACAGGCCCGCGCCGATCTCGCGCTTCTGAGCATCCGGCACCAGGGGGTTGTAGAAGTCCCGTACGATGGTGTTGGCGGACCAGGACACCGGAACGAGGGTGAGCAGGGCGGCCAGCAGGAAGAGCACGCCAGCCACGATGGTGATCTTGGCTTTGGCAGTGTCGTCCTGCACGCAGTTGGTGCACTGGGCGCCCACAAGCGCCACGAGGAGCCCAAATGCACCCAGCAGGATGGCGACGACGATGAGGGCACGGGCCGCCTGCAGGTCCTGGGGCAGCGCCAGCAGCGAGTCGTACACCTTGCACTGCATCTGGCCGGTGCTCTGCACCACACAGTTCATCCACAGGCCCTCCCAGGTGATCTGTGCCGTGATGATGCTGCTGCCGATGAAGGCCGTNAATCTTGCCAGAGAGTTGTCTGTTTTTATTAGTGTTTTTCAAACACCGGCTTTTGGCTTTGTTCATCTTTTCTTTTGGTTTGTTTCCCATTTTATTAATTTTTAGTTTTCATTATTTCCCACCTTGTAATTTGTTCGGCTTAACTCTTCTGTCCTTTTCCTAACTTTTTAAATTGAATACTTAGCTCATTTGTTTTGAGCCATTCCTTTTTTTTTTTTTTTTAACTAACAAGTTTTTCTGTTTTATTGGGGAGTGGAGGGCAGTGTCACTGGCCCTCATATGTGGGATCCGAACCCGGGCCCTCTGGCGTCCCAAGCCAGTTCTTAACCATCGTGCCACTCGGCCGGGCCCAGGAGCCATTTTGACGCCTTCTTCCTTACACCCCCACCCCCATCCAAGCTCTCACATAGTTCTGCTGATTTTTATCTCCCAGATAGCTCTGATATCCATCCACTTCTCTCCATCTTCATGGCCCCATTTCTCCCCAGCAGTGTTGCCTCCTCACTGGACTTGTCCATTTTGGCCCCTCCAGTCCCTAAATGTTAACCAGCAAGATCTTGTATTTCTATGTTAATCTAGTTTGTTCCTTCCTACGTTTTTCTATTTTTCTGTGCTCATTGCCCCCTGGGGATAAACATATGTGTCAGACCAGAGAGTAGAAAAGCTGGTTTATGTGTTTCAAAAACTGAAGTCCTGAGGGGAAGGGACTGCATCAGCAGAGACAAGTGTCTTGGACAAGAATGCAAGGGGAAGTCCGCCACCTGCTTCTTGCAGGGTCCCCAGAGAGGAACGACCCATGGGTTTAATAGGCAGGCAGGACCTTAGGCAGCTCGCAGAATATCCCCCAGTCCCAAGCCCAAACAGACACAGTGTAAACCATAGGAAAGAGGAAGCCAGCGAGACAGGATGGTTCTATCTGAGCAGTGATCACTGTTGCCTGAGGGCTGGATGCTGTCCAACCTCCTCCTCCCCTCAGCCTCTTCCTTGCCCTTCCCCCACCACCCAAGCAAGTTGGCCCTGCTGAATATCCTGGACTGGTGTCCCAACCTCAAGAGGATTAAAGTTCAACTTGTTTCCAACTGCCTGGGCAGAGTGGAGCATCCAGGATAGAATGTCATTGCATGTCTCAGTTGGTGGACTGACTTTCATAACTGCCACAATGCCACACACATTCATCAACTGACTTTCTTTATAGATCAACAATCCAATAATTCATTAACAAATATTTACTGAGCACCTGCTAATGCCAAGTATGAATTATAGAGCTAGGAATATGGCAATTACATGGCCCCGTTCCTCAAGGAACACACACACACACACACACACACACACACACACAAACACACAACAAAAAACCCTGGCTTTTCTTCTCTCCAGTGGAGAAGACAGGACATAAACAAAGAAATAAATATGTGATAAATTCAGAGAGCAGGCTGCTATGTTCGATAATAATTGGGGTGGGAGATAATTAAGTAGGGCGATAAGGAAAAACCTCAGGTAAGGTGACATCTGAAGGATAAGAAGGAGGTAGTCATGTGAACAACTGGGGGAAAAGTGTTCTAGGCAGAAGGAATAGCAAGTGCAAAGGCCCTGAGGCGCATAAGGCCTTCTCTTGTTAGAGGAAGTTGGAGCAGAGAAAGCAAGGGAGAAAGCATATATGAGGTGGGCTATGGTTAGTCCAAGCAGGGCCTGGGGGGGAGATCTGGTCTTTATTCTAAGAGAAATGAGAACTGGTAACGGGTTTAAGCAGGAAGAGGCATGGCTTACATTTTTATAGGATTGTTTGGCTGCATGGGAGAAGGTGGGGGACAGATTAAAGGGGAAATGGAAGAGGGGAAGGACAAGCAGCTAGGAGGCTGTTGCGCTTGTCCAGTTGGGACATGATGGTTATTTTTTATTGGAAGGTGGCTGTGGAGGTAGAGAGAGAGAGAGAGAGAGGGAGGTTTTTATTATTATTAAAGCTTATTGGGGTGACAATGGTTAGTAAAGTTACATAGGTTTCAAGTATACAATTCTGTAATGCATCATCTAATATCACATTGTGTGTTTACCACCCAGAGTCAGTTCTCCTATCACCATATATTTGATCCCAGAGATAGATAGATTTGAGATATATTTTGAGTTAGAATTAATAGGATTTGATGAAGAGTTGGGTGAGTAGAGAGAAAGATGGTGGTGAGGAAAAGGAAGGAACCAAGGACAACTCCCAGGTTTCTGGACTGAACATGTGCATAGTTGTGCTGTTTACTGACTTGGGGAAGGCTGGAGAGAAACATTTTTTTCCCTCTACAGGGTACCAGTGTTGGGAGAATCTAGAGTTCCACTTGAGGCATGCTAGGTTTGAGATGCCCCAGAGATATCATAAAATACTTGGCTCTCCATATCCTCAGGTCTCACATCCATGGATTCAACCAACTGTGGATCAAAAATATTGGAAAAAAATTATTATGAAGTTCCAAAAACAAAAACTTGAATTTGCCACAGCTGAGCACAATGCTGAATCCACGTGAATGGAGTGATACATTAGTGTACCCTGCTGTAGCCTTTATGCAAATACTGTACTATTTTCTATTAGGGACTTGAGCATTTTTGGATTTGGGTATCTGTAGGGGTCCTGGAACCAGTCCTCTGTGAATCCTGAGGGACGACTCTAGTTAACATTTACTGAATGCTTAATACGTGCCAAGCACTGTTCTAAGTGCTTTATATCCCTTCACTTACATTCATTATATCCATAAACTCATTTAATCCTCATAATGGCTGTGAGAGGGTACATGTGTTATTTATGATTTCTCCTTCATAACTGAGATAATTGAGTCACAGAAAGGATAGTTAATTTCTCAGGATTACGCAGCTTGGAAGCTGCAGGGCCAGGATCTAATCCCAAGTGGTTGGGATCTAGGGGCCATACTGTTAACTGCTTTCCACCGCGGCCTCTGAGGTATTCAAGGAGGCAGCTGGACACCTGCGCTGGGAGTTTGGAGGAGAGGTCCGGGAGCCAGAGGATGTGAAAACCATGGGAATAGGAGAGACCATCAAAGGGGACAACAGCACATGAGAGGAAGCAGGCCCAGGGCAGAGGACCCTTGGATTTAAGTAGAGGAAGACCCAGGAAGGGAGCCAGGAGAGTGAGCATAGAGGGAGGAGAAGGCCAGTTGAGGGTAGTGTCAAAGGGCAAGATAAGTGGAGATCCTGTGGAGGAGGGAACAGTCAACTATGTCAGAAATTGCTGAGAGTTGTGAGGAAGCTCCAGTTAAAAAAGTGACCGTTGACTATGGCAACCTGGAGACCGCTGGGGACCTTGCCGGTAGCAGCTTTAAGGCATGAAGTTGTGGGGGAAGAGCAGTCCAGAGTGGCTGATTGGCATGTGGGAGGGGAGGAAGCAAAATTGGGGGTGAGATAACTTGAGAAGGTGAGCAGAGAAACGGGGTGGCATCCGTTTGGAGATGTGAAGTCAGGAAACTATTTTTTNCCACTCGGCCGGCCCATTCACCCATTTTTGAATGGTTGTTTTTTTGTTTTTGTTGTTGAGTTTTGGGAGTTTTCTATATATTCTGGATATTAATTTCTTATCAGATATACGATTTGTGAATATTTTCTCCTAGTCCATGAGTTGCCTTTTCACTCTGTCCATAATAACCTTTGATGCATAAAGTTCTAAATTTGCATCAAGTCCAATTTGTCTGTTTTTTTATTTTGTTGCTTGTACTTTGTTGTCAAATCCAATAAATTGTTGCCAAATCCAGTGTTGTGAGTTTTGTCCTATGTTTTCTTCAAATAATTTTATAATTTTATTTCTTATGCTTAGGTCTTTGATCCATTATGAGTTAATTTTTGTATATAGCGTTAGGTAAAGGGTCCAATTCTTTTGCATATGGATATCCAGTTTTCTCAACACCATTTGTTGAAAAGACTGCCCTTTTCCAATTGAGTGTTCTTGGCACCCTTGTTGAAAGTCATTTTAACACATATGCAGGACTTTATTTCTAGGGGTGGCTGGTTAGCTCAGTTGGTTAGAGTGTGGTGCTAATAACGCCAAGGTTGCTGGTTAAATCCTGATATGGGCCAAAAAAAAAGGGTTTATTTCTAGGCTCAATTCTTTTCTGTTGGTCTATTTGTCAGTCTTTATGCCAGTACCATAGTGTTTCGTTACTGTAGCTTTGCAATAAGTCTTGAAATCAGGAAATGTGAGTCCCCCAACTTTGTTCTTCTTTTTCAAGATTGTATTGCCTATTTGTGTATAATCTTTATTTTTGCTTACCATTTCGCCCCCTATTCTGATGTTCTCTGGTTCCTTCTTTTATCATTTCCCTTCTGTTTAGAGATTTTCTTTTAGTTATTCTTTTGTGACAGTAGTTCTGTTTGTAACAGATAAGGTCATTTTCCTTCATCTGCAAATGTCTTGATTTTTCCTTCATTCCTGAAGGATATTTTCACTGACTATGGGATTCTATATTCTTTTCTTTCAGCACTTGAAAAATAATTTGCCACTTTCTCTGGCCTTCATGGCCTCTGATGAGAAATTTGCTGTCATTCTAAGTGTTTTCCCTTATAGGTAAGGTGTTGCTTTTCTCTGGCTGCTTTTAAGATTTTTTNTTCTTATCTGGTAAACCTGAAACTATACCCATTAAATAACTCATTTTTCTCTCCTTCCCCCAGCCCCTGGTAACCATCATTCTACTTTCTGTCTGTATGGCTTTGACTACTCTATGTACCTTGTATAAGTGGAATCGTACAGCATTTCTCTTTTTGTTACTGGCTTATTTCAGTTAGCATAACATCCTCAAGCCTCATCCATATTGTACCATAGGAGGCCTGACAATTAAGTTCACGAACTTGTTGCAACAATGTTGCTAACCTTTTTTTGATATCAGGGGGATTATTCATTATGAATTTGTACCAACTAAACAAACAGTTAACCAAGTTTACTATTTGGAAGTGCAGAAAAGGCTGCATGTAAAAGTTAGACAAAAACAACCTGAACTTTTTGCCAACAATTCATGGCTCTTGCATCACAACAATGCACCAGCTCACACGGCACTGTCTGTGAAGGAGTTTTTATCCAGTAAACAAATAACTGTATTGGAACACTCTCCCTACTCACCTGATCTGGCCCCCAATGACTTCTTTCTTTACCTGAAGAGAAAAGAAATATTGAAAGGAAGACATTTGGATGACATGCAGGATATCAAGGGTAATACAACAACAGCTCTGATGGTCATTCCAGAAAAAGAGTTCCAAAATTGCTTGAAGGTTGGACTAGGCACTGGCATCGGTGCATAGTTTCCCAAGGGGAAAGAAGACTGTAGTGATATTCAGCAATGAGGTATGTAGCAGTTTTTCTAGGATGAGTTCGCGAACTTAATTGTCCGACTCATATGTCAGACTTTCCTTACTTTTTAAGGCTGAACAATATTTCATTGAATGTATATACCATATTTTGCTTATCCACTTATCCATAGACATTTGCATTGCTTTCCACCTTTTGGCTATTGTGAATACTGCTATGAACATGGGT